ATCTTTTGGTTCTGATCATGGCAGCTGAATTTCCTCTCAAGTAAATTTCCCACACTGCTTCTTAGCTAAGAGAAAGAAATAGATGTTGGTTTCCTTGCTGAAATAGGTCAGCATCTACTCGCAGCTTAGCTCAGTCATGACAAGATGAGTCTCTGATTCTCTGAACCCCTTTCTAAAATTAAAACAGACCAAAGTTTTTAAGGGGAAAATGAGGCAGCATTGATAAGTGGAGCAGCAAGGAAATTAGAAATAATTAAAAATATTTAAAAGGCTAGATTTAGAAGTTAATTCAGAACCAAGAAATAATGGCTGAAAGAGCAAGCTTTCTTCCCATCATCCTACCTTCTTCTTTTGGACTTTAAGTAAACTTACAATTTCCCTGATTAGGGAAGCAAAATAAAGAGCAAGTCTATCTTCCTTTAGATATTAGAAATCTACAAACACTTTGATGAGTTAGAAAGATGGGAGATAAATGGGCATGTCTGACAAATGGAAACGTCCATACTTTTGGTAATAGACCCATGTAGAATCCATGATCTCAATATTTGGGGACTTAGCAGTATGATTAGGATTCCCTGATGACATCATCCAATGTAGTTCCCATACTCAAAAAGTGTAATGACAGCAGATAAGCACCATCAGTTTGACTCTTCTTCACACCCATCTCCTGCATATAAAGCTTGAGATGCTTCTTCTTCTCTTATTACTGTTTTTTTTTTGTCTCTATTTCCTAAAATAAATCCTTGCTGATTTTTTTTCTAAAGAACTCCACTAGTTGGTTCAGCCAAAATTCCCATTCTCAATATCTGATCAGGTTTCTCCTCACCTCCACTAAGTGATGTGTGTTCACCCTTTGCCTGTCTTTAGCAAGAATCCTACTGGGCCTGTTTAGTCAGGTACTGACTCCTTATGCTTACTTTATTCAATCCACTGACACCATCCCCCTCCTGGACCATGGATATAAATCTCCAGTTTCCCTTGTTGTGATTAGAATTTAACCCTGCTCAATACTGATACCCGTTTTACTCTCCTGCAACTGTCCTGAATAAAATCTGTTTTTTAATGCTTTAAGCGCTGAAAAGTTCTATTTTTCTTTAGTAAGTTACAGACAATTGAGAGGAAAGATTAATGTAGGGAGCAAGCCTAAGGCCACAGCATAATGGGTGGGACTGACCCTTGATGACCTTCTTGGACTACTTTTTCCTGAGTGTTTTTGATGTTCCTCTGTATCCCTTCCACTCCTAAATCTCATCCCAATGAGTTTCAAGATGCTAAGCATCTTTAAGCTCTAGAATATTCCTAGTGGCATTCATCAGAAGCCTCTTTTTGGTTTTGCAGTTTTAGTACTTCAGTCTTGTGTATGCTGGATGAGTATGTTACTACTCAGCCTATAGGCCTAGCCAGTGGTCTCTAGCATTACCTGGTGCTCTGGTTGTGGTAAATACTTGCTTGATACTATCAGTAAGGTCTTGCAAAACTGGGGAATACCTATAAGCACAAATACCTCATGTACTAGAAACCCTAATCTCAAATCCCAAATTGTGATTGGTGATTCCCTGGACTTGTATGGGTTCAGGTTTTCCTAGCATAGCCACCTATCAATGAATTTTGTTAACTTGGGGTTTGATTAATAGAAACCAAGAAGGACCAAAACATTTTAACTGAATTACACACATTTATTACATTGTTAACAAAGGCACATCAATAATCACATACAATATCTTTATATAAGTAACACAGCCACGTCTCTTTTAACTGCCAACTCTTCAAGAACAAACGTTCAGGTCTTCAGGTCATGAAAGCAAAAGGCAAAGTCTTGGTCCCAACCTTCTTCCTTACCCTCATCATGAGAGCTTCATTGATCCCTGATGGTTTGAGCATCTTCTGAAGCATGCCAGTTGCACACACTCCTCACATTTCTTCTACATTCCCTCCAGTTCAGTTATTCACAAACACATCTCTGCTTTAGCAGGAACTATCACTCACCTATTCTCTGGGTTTTTGCTGAACTCTTTTTGCAATTTGTACATGAATGTGGCATATTATGTGGTAAGATACTTCCCTTGCTCTAATCAGGAAAGTCTGCAATTTTTCTCCCTTTTTTGCACCCACCCACACTCTTGTGCACCTGTGCTAGAGCTTGAACTCAGGGCCTGAGTGCTATCCCTTAGCTTATTTTCCTCACAGCTGGTGCTCTACCACTTGAGCTATAGCTTCACTTCCAGCTACTTTTTCGTGCTTAATTGGAAATGAGTCTTCATGGCCTTTCTTGCCCAAGCTGGCATTAAACTTCAATCCTCACATCTCTGCCTCCTAAGTAGCTACATTACAAATATGAGTCAATGGCACCTGGCAGAATGTATTTTCTGAACTAATCTGTGCACCTCTTGTGCTTTTTGCTTTAGGCATCTGTTTACTTGGGTAAGAATCCACCTTTCAGTATCTTACAATCTTTGTCCTATGTCCTGTGGCTTCCCCTTCTATCTTAAAAACCCTACATGGAACTCTTTGCTTTTAACCCCCCTCTCCCTCACCTCCCCCCCCCCCCCCGCCATCCCATATATCCACTGTTCTACATATGGAAGAAGTGTAAGTTGGGCACTAAAAGGAAAATCTGGACTGTCTCAGTTTAATAGGGATTTTTAGTGCAGGAAAGAACTAAGTAAAAACAAATAGAGTATGTGGGCTCATCTTTTGAATATTATGGGTATTAAACACTAGATTACTCCAGAAATATAATTATCTTTCAAGGTTGTCAGTGTGCCAACATCTTTAGAGATGCTCACCAAGGAAATGGGTGCTACTCCTTGGAATTGTATATTAGCATTATATATACTAGGTAGTATGTTAGTTTCATCATTATGTCAGAGCTATCTTAACAACTACAATAGTACATGAATTTTTGCATTTTGGTCTTGTTGAGGTGGTAAATGACTACAACACTCCTCTGTAGGACTTTGATTGTTGCTCCTAAATGCTGAGATCCAATGTCTGAAGTTTGTTTTAGTAAAACGTATCTCCTTTGTCTATGGATGTGGCTCTCTGATCCTGGGCCAATGGACAGTTAAGTCTTTTTACTACACTTGATCTTAGCCAAAAGGCCAAGAAGCGATAGTCAAGTCTTTTTGAATACAAACATTTCCAGGAGAAATAGAGCATATTCAGCACTACCATGTTTCAACATTAGCATGTAACTTTTCTTTTAGATCTCAGCTATGATACAAGTATCTATATGTGGAGATGTCCAACAGGGAAGTTCAGAAGGGGGAAAATTCCAGATCTGTGTGAGGATGCAAGTCTGATAACTTGTTGCCATGGGGCTCTAAGAAACCTGGAAATCACCATGAAGAACATATAGAAGGCCTTAGAAAGGCTCTGACAAAATAAACTGAAAAGTACCTAAGGAAAACTTGATAGACATCTAGTTTTGTCAGCGGGTCAACTTCCTCCTGACTGATGGAAACATCAACTCTTCATTTTGATTAGAGTTGGGAATACGCGCCCTGAATTATTACCTAGCACGCAGCAGCTTCAAAGAGAAAGAACAAACTGGATTCTGACCTCTGGTCGATATACTGAATTGGTTTTAGTGTTGGGATTATGAGACCCACAGGAACACATACAACACATCAAAGGCCTTAAAGTTGGCTTATCAAGAAAAGCCAAAGTGGGAATCGCCTTAGAAATATTAAGATAGGGCACAAAGAGCAAGGGAGATTTCCATGGTACAGATGATACCAGAAAGGACTAGCCTTCTTCCTGGCTCTTGCCTCCATTATAGTCACGTGAATAATACTTTACTTTCTCATAACTTCTGAGACAAACTTGGTTCATCTCAATTTTCTATCAGCTCAACTATGGAAGGATGATCAAAGTCAACAAGTTCCAGGTTGTTGTTTTTCTGGTGTTCAGATATCTGGCAGAATACAGTTTTATTATGTTACATTTGTTTTCTTAGTGAACAAAAAGGATTCCCAGGGGCTGGGAATGTGGCTTAGTAATAGAGTGCTTGCCTACCATGCATGAATTCCTGGGTTTGATTCCTCAGTACCACATAAGAAGAAAAAGCCAGAAGTGGCGCTGTGGCTCAAGTGGTAGAGTGCTAGCCTTGAGCAAAAAGAAGCTTAAGGATAGTATCCAAGCCCTGAGGTCAAGCCCCAGAACTGCCCCCCCCCCCCCCCCCCCCCCCCCCCCGCCCAAAAAAAAAAGATTTCCCAGCCAAGTACCAGTGGCTCACACCTGTAATCCTACTCAGGGTGATGAGATCTGAGGATTGTGGTTGGAAGCCAGCCCACTCAGTAACGTTGGTGAGATTCTTATCTCCAATTAACCACATACAAAGTGGAAGTACCACTGTGGCTCAAAGTGGTAGAATGCTAGCCTTGAGCAAAAGAGCTCAGGGACAGCCTCTAGCCCCTGAGTTCAAGCCACACAACCAAATAAAAAACAAAGCAAAACAAAAGGATTCCCATTTCATTCCTAAGCCGTTTTTGGAGATAAGCAGGTTTGAGTAACAGAAACCATTCTAGTGGGGAAACCCATACACTTCATTGTCCTGAAACCATTTATGTCCATTTAAAGAAGGAAATAAATAGCTTCAGCTTCATGTGTTACATTGAAGGTGCAAAATAGAAACGAGTAACTGGCATAAACAAACTTCTAAAAATTTATCTATCACTAGGCCTTAGGTTTTCTGAGGCACAGTTGAAATCAGCAAGCATGATCTTAAAAACTTTTCTTTTCCTATGTGTCTCTCTTGTGTTAGCCACTCCAATCTTACAGGAATAACACAGCTAACACAAAAGATATGTTATCTATAGAATTCAAAATGCTGAAGATATTTGGAAATAAATTTCCTGTTTATGCAATCTGACATTGAGCCAAATCACAAATTTAAATTTTATATTAGCATTATTATTAGAACAGATATTCTCAGACATAAATAGATGCTCTATGAACTTCTGTGTGACTATGGATTCATAAAAAATAAAAGACATAACCAAGGAATTTTCACACTTTATTAAAAGAACAAAAAATAAAGAAGTAGCATACTAAAATGGGTTACATGATGCATATTTCTAAACATAAACATAAACAAGCACTATAACACTACAGCAAAAAACAAAAAGGCAATGATCTGCAGTTGAGGGAATGAGCTATTGCATTTTGAAGGCAAAATATTATGAGCATAGTTTATATTCTTAAGTATTTTGATTCTTCAAATATATATTGTAACAGGGTAATTATTTTCTAATTTTAGGTATTTTTGTTTGTTCTTTTTTTCCGTTGAACAATTTGAATTCAGGACCTCACACTTGCTAGGCAGGTACTCTACCACTGAGCTACTCTTCCAGACCAATTTTAGGTATTTTTAAACTGCCATTTTCTACATTTGAAATTGTTGTTAGATGATTGCATAAAGTTCACCCTTAAAATGTTTACACTTAATGTAACTTTAATTAAAAAATTAATTTATAGATGGGCACAATCTACCACTTACTTCAGGTGAGAGGATTAGATTGCTTGAGCTCATGAGTTCAAGACTAGCCCAGGCAATACAAAGAGAGACCTCCTCAAAACAAACATGCTCCATTTCCTCCAAAACCTACTTATTTTAAATGGCTATGATTTGAAACATGGTAACAATTGGCTCATTTTCTAATAATTAAATCAGTAACCATAATAAAAAAGGAAACAGAAATGAGACGATGGTGGTATATCATTCTCTCAACTACTAAAACAAAAAAAGACACAGCAGCAAAATAATTTGGTTTCTATCATCCACAAATAGTATTTGCATAATGAATAAAGTTTCAAAACCATGCAGTTCTATGACAGTTTTATCTTTAGGTTGTGTGTTGGGAGGAAAAGAGTCTACTTAGTAGTAGGCTTTTTGTGTCTTATTACAGAGGTATTTTTAAAAATAGTATGATGTAGAAGGTGACTAGTGAGAATTCTTTCAATATCTGCAAAGAGTGCTAAGTTTGGAGTGATATATTTTTTTCCTTTCAGGTATAACAAAATTGAGGATGGTTTCTACGTATGCACAAAAGTTCTCAGGGAGAATCCACTTTTTGAGTATTAATTTCCTTACAGTTCAGAACAAATAGAGAGGCTGGGAATGGAATTAATCAGCCTATATCCTAATAGAGGTCATTTTTGTGGCCTCAGTTAAACATATTGTTTACATTTCATTCTGTAACTTCTTTTGCTTTAAACAGTCACTGTGTTTTAGCTTTAGAGTATGACACAGCATGCACATCAATGGCACCAATTCCTTGAAGTTCTTTTGTGATGCTTTGGGATCTTTCTAATGTTTTACAAATGATTCTTTCTGACTTAAAAATCTTATCTCAGTGGTAGAGCACATGTCTACCTAATGCAAGGTCCTGGGTTCCATCCCTGGTCCCATGCACATACACTCATGCAAAAATGTTTCATCTCTCTATTGACCTTATGAAAATTTTTTATGTGGCTTACAGCTTTATAATGAAATGACAACATTAAATTATGCTAGTGATAAGGCTGCAGTTGGAAGTTGCTATGTACAAATACATATATATATATACAATATACATATTATATATATTGTATACATATATATAGTGTGTGTATATATATTCTATTTTATATCAATGGAAAAGCTAATCAGATTGTCAGACTGAGTCTAAATGATTATGAACTGAAGGGAGAACGAAATTTCTAGCCAATTGGTCCTGAGCTATTGGATAACTATAAGGCTTGGATTGTTTTCTGGCTTTGGCTTTTCTATCTCTTTTCTTGTTTTGGTGCTAGGGCTGGAACCCAGGTTCTTATGAGGGGAGAGCTGCAGCCCTAATTTTCTGACTCTGGAGTGAAAGCTAGCAAAACTGTGTAGCAATGTCTCATTACCAAGCCCCCTAGTCCCAGGATGGGTTCCTCGTACAGGGCAAGAGCTACCAGCCTCAAGATATGAAGGACTCAAAGCACCTACAGTGATCCATTGTTAATCTTTCTAACTTAGACTTTTCCTAGGCCTCACTGCCTGGGAATGAAAAGAAAATTCTATGGCTATCTGCAGGTGGAGTGCGGCTAAAACTGGAAAAGATGGTTAGACTGAAACATTTGCTTCCAGCTCTTGTGTTATGCAAGATTTTGTCTGGTTCTCTTCTGCTTCATTCAGACAAAACATTGGGAGGCTGAAGTGGTACAATGAAGTAGTTAGTAATCTGCTAAAGGTAGGTCAGAAAACAGCTACCACTGAACAGGTAGAATGCAAATAATGCTATTTCTAATGTCATTCCAGGAGCATGGTTTCCTTTGTTGAAGGGGATAAACTACCCTGGACTGGCCATACTTAACTGTAAGTGACATTTTTCAATATTTGCCACTTCACTTTGAGCTTCTGCATCTTAAAGGAGGAACAGAGATCAGCACAAACCATTTGTCACTTAAATACATGCTAACTGATTGCCATGATAAGCTGATGCATAGAGCAATATGTTTTATTGAAGGGGGAAATGTGATTGACTTTAATGAGAACATCTCACAATTTAAATGGTATTTCACTAGCTTAGAATCATTGATACAAAACCTTTGCCAAAACCTACTCTGTGTGTGTGTGTGTGTGTGTGTGTGTGTGTGTGTGTGTGTGTGTGTTGGATGAATGCTTATAGTGGGGATTAATTTTCTAAAGCAAGCAATCTTTGCTACTGATCTTGCTAAGAGACATACTTCTTCTCTGGTTCCATGTTGTAACGTGATGCTGTTCCCAAACTTCCTTTTGGTTAGCTGTAGCCAAGAGGAAGGCCTCCACAATAGCAATGCAACTCCTTGCTTTTGCTAAGTCTTAGGGGAAAATTGCCTCCTTTTCTAAGCCTTAGAAAGCACTCTCTCCCTTACTTTTCCACTATTATCACAGAGTTCTTATGTTTAAAAACAAGCTCCAAGGATTGCTTTCATGGACTATGTACATAAGTGCAAAAAAGGTGTGTCTCACACATTCGCACCCTAACTGAGACAATCAGGTAACTGCAGCATATGTCTCATAAACACTGTTAAGGGATTAATCCACAGTATCCTTATTTATGGTTTCACAAATATGAGATCATTTTAGAATGTTTTTATCATCCTTTGATCCTTACATATATTTTTAGATGTAATTCTACAAAACACTTTTTTTTTACAACTACAATATGCCATATGAATAGGTAATTTTGAACAAAGTTATAAGAAAAGGGTCAGGTAATATTTTATCTATGCTATGGATATGTTTGAGTTCAAAATACTGTGGAATAACCCTGTTTATACAACAGATTCTATAAACTATAAGGCTTGACTCTAGAATCCGTACACTATAAAATTTTTGACCAAAAAGTCACAGGAGGACACAAATTTAGCTTTCACAGGGGACCTAAAACTCTTTTTTTTTAAAATCACCATATCTGTTTTCTGAGTTTTGAGCTGTATCTTCTACAGGTTCATACTGTCACAAACCACACATATAGTTTACAGATAAAAGTTTCACACAGACACACAAATGTCTAAAGGTAGCCATGTTGTGGTTTTGTTGCCAAAGCAACAGCTAAATATAATTCATTGACAAGTATTATTTGTATAACATTAAATGTGTTCTTAAACTGTGAGTTTCCGATAGTAGTTATTAACTATAACCTACATCTTGCATGCGTTAGTGTCTAAATGATCTGAATACATGTACTAAAATGTAAGATTTCTCTAACAATTCTTCAAACTTAAATCCATTGGTTACTTAGCAATATGAAAATAATAAAACAAAACCTTAAAAACTAACAATAAGAAAAAGGAACACACACATCAGATAATAAGTTGGTGCTCAGTGTTTACATGTCATAATATTTATAGTTTGATTAGGCTATCAACTAACTTTCAGGGCCAGTGGCTATACTCTTCTATATACTATATATTCTATGACCTTCAATAGGCACTGATCCACTATCTTATGATATCTATTCATTAGAAATGGGAAATCAGATTTCCCTCCTAATTTTATTTTTTGTTTCATTGTATATGAAATGTATGAGAAAAAGAAGGAGAATGTAGTAATGATTGTGTACGCCACAGCCTACCCCATAAGCTCTCAGAAAGTCTATCTGGGCTTTACCTAAAAGCATCATTATGGACACGTTCCCAAGAGGGAGGAAAAGATCCAAACAGCATTCCAAATAGTACTTGTGTTTTCTCTCTTAATTCATCAAATGTAATGTAAACTTTGTTTCTTATTCAAACATCACTTTGCTTACTGGTCATGATGTGAAAAATTGATTCTAGCTGTAAAAATTAATTTCATTTGGTTCCTGCTGATAGCAGGAGACGTGGTGCTGACTTTTTCTCAAACCAGAGAACAGGTAAACTGAGGTCTTCCATTAGTGGACACAGCCTAGTGATACAGGGCAACACTTAATGGCATGTTCAGGAACAGATGAAGATGGATAGAGGACAGAGAAGATAGATTTCATGATTAACTGCCAATTAAAGAATAATCTAGCAAAGTGAAATGAAATGCAACAGCTGGTTTTGGAATCACTTTCCAATTGCAAAAGTAAATACTGTATTTAAATAAAAATTTTATGAATCCATTTATTTCAAATTCAGTCCCTCTTTAAAATATACTCATGTTGTGGTTACATAGTGTTTTTGTAAAACGTTGAAACTACTAAAACCTTCTCAAAGATATCTCTCAGGTTTTTTTTCCCTGTATATATGACATGCTTTGTCCATAGCTCAACACTTGCATATTCTTTTTTGCAAAATGCTGAGATAAATGGACAAACACAATAATTTGGGATAACTAAAAATAGAGGACCTTGTAAAATACAAAGCTTATAAAATATTAAGTAAAAATCACAAATGATTAGAATTTTAATATTTACAGTTCATTAGGTATATTTTCATTTAGAGTCACTGATTAGTTTTGTGACTTGTTTTTTTAACTGGAATTTTATAGTCTAATGACTTACTACTTATTGGTCTTGTCTTTTCTTGAATAAAGGTGATTTGAATAAGTCATTGCACAACTAGTTTAAAGAGTGCTATCTTAGAATAACATTTTCCTCAAAACTCTTCAATTTGATCAAAACTTTAGGGCTTTGAGCTTGCTTTCTTTATATTCATTTACACAGCAACTTTCAATATGCCAACAATCAATAAAATCATGGCACCGAAAATCCAACTACCCTGAATGACCCTCACTGAATCTCTTCCTAAAAATAAGTCATTATTAATGTCTTCCAGTGCTTAAAGCACTAAGGTATACTCTAGGTTTATCATCTATCTATATCTTTGCCAAAAGATTAAAAAGTTAAATGAGATAGTATGTTGCTTCAAAATGTCAAACTATGCAAAAGTTCATTTTGCACCAAAACACCATCCCCATCTCCAGTAAGAAATGGATCCAGACTAGCTCAGGTAAATCCCTCCTGGACTCATGTGTTCAAATCTGCCCTTCGGGAGAGGCCCAGGCACAGATTATGCAAAACTCAGTTCCATACACAAGGCATTTTTAAAAGGCATACGCTACTTCTCTAGAAATATTAAGATTCTAGCAAACAGAAAGGAAGTGGTTCAAGGAGACTACAGGGAAAAAGGAAAGTCCTGAATTCCAGGAAACACTGTTAACCAACAGAGGAGAGACAGTGTGGCTCAATACAAGCAAGACTGTTTACAAACCATTGATAGAGCAAGGTTTGCATTATTGATCGTTAAGATCGGTAGGATTCCAACCACCAGGGAGGATTCTGCTCTTTTGTATTCTAAACCAGACTGCTCGATGTTCTACAGCGCAACCAGGTCCCCCAATGGCTGTGGAACTTTCTAGGTCTCAGTTTTATCAGTGAAAAATCTTTGTCAACACCACTGTTCATAAATTTAAACCTACTAGCTGACAGTATCCTAAAGATTTTTCTCTTGTCATTTTTTTGAATAAGAAAATCAACTCTTTTCATATATGTGCATATGTAGGCATACATATATATCTATTAATTTCAATTTTGATGATTGTATACTTTTCAGTGGGAGAATATACATTTAGAAGAACATATTACATTGATCTAAGTTGGTGCAAACTGCATCATCCCACCACTGTAATAATAATAATAATTTTAATAACTGAGTAGACTGGAGGAGGTAGGCTATATGCTACAGAAGTTGATTGCTGTTTGACACAGGTATGATTATGTCATAAGAATTAGTAATAAGAATTCAGCTCACCTTGGTGGTGAAGCTCATATAAAGAATAATGAACCCAAGCAAAAACTATTAGGCTTTTAGAAAGAAGTCTGCAGATGTTCAAGTGTGGGCAGGGACACGCTTGCCATGAATCACAGGCACTTGCTCTTTCACTGATGTGTTTAACAAAATTGGAAACTCAGAAAAACTAATGCTAAGGACAACTGCAGAAATTTCTTCTAGTTCTTTTTCATCATTCAAAGAGCAATTTTAAATGACTCCCTGGCCCCTTGACCCTACCATTTCTCAAACCTGTGCTCAGACTCCCTCAGTGATCAATAGAGAAATTGGCCATTTGGAGACGAAGGGCCTCATTTGGAACCAATTCTCTTTCACCTGGACTGACTTTTGCTAGATTGCATCTTACTTATTATTCAAAGAGTATTCTAAAGAGCATGAGCCATTCACATTTGGAAAATGTCACTTGCTCAGAAGGTTACTTTGCGATGGTTTTACACACCTTCTGCCAGTATGTAAAAACTATCCCCATGCCCCCATATCTTTGTTTGATTTTTTAACCTGCAATTAGCATACCTTTAAGCCATCAACTGCCAATTTCTCAGCAGAAGATGACAAATGGCTTGCTTTTAGACACTCAACTTAGGAAATAGGATTCTTGGGATACAAAAAAAGGTAATGAGTACATAATTTTTAGTACAAATGGGGAGAAATTCATAAAAAGTGTATATTCTATTTTCAAGTTATTTAAGGAGTGATTAGAGGTTAATGTTTTAATAAGCTTCCTACTTTTTATAGGTAATTATTTTTCCCTTGCCAAAAATTTAGTCAATTTATGGAAATCAGCAAAGTTAGATCAGAGAGTACAATTATGCACACAAATGTTTATGCACACTCAAAATGAAGCCCTTTAAATCTATGTCCCAAGAAACATACAGAAATATTCTAAATAAAGCATATTAACATGAACCTGCCATGTTTTACAAGTACACACACTTCTGTTCTTTACTAGTAACATTTTAGTTGAACTCAAACACCACAATATACAGCAAAACACTATGGTATGCAACAACTAAACACATTCCAAGACAATACAATGTAATAATAAAGAAAATGATACTGAATATTTGTTATTTCTAGATCAACCCAATAAACTATCCTGTAAACAAAATAGTAAGATAACACTTCAAAAACAGACATCCATCATGAATGCACAGTAAGCCCACTGTGGAAATTCACTTAGCATAATGGTAATTGGAAAATCACAAAATGTTAGGGCTGTATTCTATCTGCTAATTCAAATATGATAGCTAAGAGAATTTGTAGTTATTGGTTTTGTATTGGTATTTTCTTTTAACATCTCCATTGATTCTTAACGCTTTATTTTTATGTTTTTTTGGCTCGCTGATATGCTTTGTTTAATATATTGACTGCACCATGTTTATTGTTGTGTTGGTGGAAGAAGACACATGAGAATATATATAGAAAGGCCATATGGATGTTCTCATGGAAAGATTCCGATACTCCATAACTCTGCTGTTCAGAACTTCAACTGAAAGGGAAAAAAGAAAGAATGAAACATATTTAAGGGTTTTTAAACTAGGAGGCAGGAGGTAGTTCTTATTCCAGTTCTGTGAGTGAACTATGCCAAGATATTTCCCCCTCTGAATTTCTGATTCTATATCTGTATAAACTGGGCTGCTGCAAATGATCTCCCAAGAGTCAAATGGCTACTGATGGTTGGTAGGAAATGCCCATTGAGGGCTAACATAGAGAAGTACGTTGTGTTGACCCAGATGCCCTCCATTTTTAATTAATGGCATTATCTATGTGATACTTAAATTTTCTGCAGAACACCCAGCATCAGTGTTCATCTCCTTCAACAGGCATATATTGAGAGTATGTGTTTGATATCAAACCCTTTGAAAAATGCCAGTGTTGAATAAACATTACATTTTTTTATCTGAATGTTTTACAGTTACATTCAAATAGCCCAAATAAAGTATAGAGAATTGCACAAAATCACATTTTTTTTAACCTTCAGAGACATTTCCAATGCCTGTTATATATCAACAATATATATTCTGCCAAACATTGCCCAAATATATCTTGTGGAAAGGTTAATTATATTTGACTTTTGCTTGCCTTGTTATATAGCAGCCTATAAGAATGGTGCAAGGGTTGACAAAGCCAACAGGTACTTTTTCCCAAGTTGCCACTAGCCCAAATGATGACAATTTATAGCTCCTTTCAGTTACTCTATGTCTTTTAAATACATTCCTTATGATAGAGAGTGGGCCTATTTAGTGTATAGTCAGCTCTGGGCATTTTCAAAAAGTTACTGTTCCAGGACTGGGCATCCTGGCAGCATAAAAAGATGAGCTGGGAACCTGGGAACTTGTCCAGTAGAGAGCATGCCTGCTACCTTGGTCAAGCAAATGATACCACAGGTGAGAGAACTTCAACATTTCCATGATGAATGACTGCAACATACCAGCGCTTGTTAAGTCACAAAGCTAGGACTCTTCAGTGCTTTCAGAAATCATGTTCCAAAAGAATAATTGCTCAAGTTTAAAGTGTGTATTACTATGGGCCAAGAGGAGATTGAGGGTAAAAGAGGGTGAGGAGGGAATCTAAGCACTACAAAAATTTAAAAAATAAAGAATTCTTAGGAAAAATAGAGATTAAATTACTAAATGATATCACTCAAAATCCAAAACAGCTGGAGCAATTCTGCTTGGCTTTCATGGAAGCAACACTACAGTGCACTGGATAGCACTGTTTTCTATAATGTTATAGGAGAAGCACACTACAAACTGTCATTAAGATAATCATGTCACTCAAATGCTGACAAAATTACTTTGTTTTCCTGCAACAATAACTACAGCAACAAAATGAAGCTATGAAAAAATGTTAGAGAATTCAAACAAAAATGACCTGTGCCTTTGGCTAACGAAACCTATCCCTTGAAAAATAGGAAAACATTTCCAGGTTTGTAAGCTCATTGGGAAAATATAGTACCAGCTGTCATTTCCATATTAAGAAATTTTCATATTTATTCTCACATTTTCATTTGAAAATGTTAGAATGTTTAGTCCTGAGGTCTTTCAATGACAACATTTATCGAAAGCTTTAGCAAATACAATTCTGCATTTAAATAAAAGATTTAACCTACAAATACTACTTATATTAATACTTAAAGAAACTTACTGTTCTACTGGTAACTTCTACATCTGTGAAACAAACATGCTGCTATTCAGTTCATCTAGTGATAATTGGGGCATCTATAGTAGTAAAAAAGATTTTAGATTAAAATAGTTTCCTGAAAGAATTCTGCAATTCTGTTCCCTGCTTGGGCATAGGAGTCAATAACCGTTATGAATTTCACAGAAAATTTTAGGCTTCTTAACTATTGCCATTAATAGTTAATTTTGTAAGGCACAGATTAGAATGTTTGCTCCCCAATGAATGAATGCTATATGTGTTTCACAGTTATCGTGGTTATAATTTATAATTTAAATAGCAGTGAAACTTGCATTCTGTGGGCGTGGTTAGCACTGTAATAAGGCAGAACTCTTATAACATTATCCAATAACTATTGTGTGCATTGCCTTACAATTTCAGGACTCAACCCTAACTTACAAGTTGCCAGTCACCCTGCCTGAAAAGCAATATAAACACATTTTATGTCTGCATGAGAAGGAACTTCTGATGTAATCACTGGATAAAGATAAGGATATCCGGGCCTTTGAAAGAAATCTGATGTCTTTGCTTTCATTCTAGTGGATCTAAAAGTAACATGATGATTGCACTAAGTTAAAGTTCAAACATAACAATTGAAGATGGCAAGGAAAAAAATCAAATTGCCTTAGCCAATGAGAAAATATTGAAGAAATAGTTCATATAATATATACATTTGAGGCTTGGTGTGGTAGCCAATAATTGGATAGAGAATAACAAGAGTGAACGTTTTTAACCAAGTCAAAAATGACTACAGTGCTACTGATTATAGTCTCATGTTGAAGAACAAAGCACACAGAGTACTCTATGTGTACATACACACAAAGAAAAATTGCAATGTAATGATTGCTCCAGAAACATATAAGTATATAGACTCCTGGGTTCACCAATGCACAAAGTATATATTATGCCTGACTAATGTGTTGTAGGTATCTAGGTCTGAACAGGTGAAATAAATGAGCAAACCTGATTGCCTGTAGTTGTTGCAACGTAGGGCACGCTGGTGGCAGATGTTGTTGCTGCAGACACAGTGGTAGGTGTAGCACCGTGCATCATGGGCACTTCAGTAGGAAACCATGGAAGCAACACACGGGAGGGTGGTGGTGCAGTTACACAACCATGACATGTAGGATGGAATGGGATGTGGTAGGTATCACAGCCACAAGCCACGAGACATCATCATGATGGATACATCCGAGCGCAACATGCAATCAGAGTCAGCATCAAGCAACCCAGCATGGAATGAGGGGAAATTTAAAAAGAGAAAAGGGGAAATTGAATTATAGGTATCATTAAGGAAAATGGAGCCATTGTCAACATTTTGCTACATTTTTGAGCAGAATCACACAATTGACTCAAAAGGCCAGATTTTTACAAGGGGTTATAATGAATGCATGTAAAAAATTCCCTATTACTAGAGCTATTTATCTAAAGTGTGATAAACAGACAAGTAACTGGGGGTGCACATTTGGATGGGCATTAGGGAATTGGGAGTTGGTGTTTGGGGTCTCTGACTTATGGGCATGAGTGCTGCCAGTAGATGTGCAGGTCAAAAGGGGCAAGTTTTATATAGACTTACCTCATCTGCATGCAAAAAGAATGGTTGGTTGATTGGTGGATTTGTGGCAGGGGAACAGATACAAAGACTATGGATAGGACTATGAGAATGGGTATTGAAGTATACCTCTACTAAGCTTCTTGGAAACTGGCTTTTTCCAAACCGATACATGAGGTACTTCATAATAAATCTTGTCTTCACAGCAAACATTAGAGCTACATTGACTAGTACTTGCAAAATCTCTTTCAGGATTTTTATTTGACTTTACTAGTTTCTATCTCATTTTGAAGGCTTTGGATACTTTCCAGCTTATTCTAGAAAGCCTACTAGAGAATTCATGTGGGAATGGCAAACATATATATATACATATACATATATATGTACATATATGTGTGTAATGTATAGGTATAAATCTATCTATCTATCTATCTATATCTATCTATCTATCTATCTATCTATCTATCTATCTATCTATCTATCTATCTATCTATCTATCATCATTTATCCAGTCCACATCAAGTAAATCCAGATTGTCTGAAAAGTCTACTGAGAAAGGGAATGGCCAGCCAAAAGAAGAAAATAAAAATATACAAATTCATAGAAATAAAAAAAATATATCCCAAAGGGGGATAAAGATAAACTCTTCAGTTACCCTTTCTGGCCACCTCTGATTACCTATTTATGTGTAGTTATTCCTTATTTGTCTTGCATGCCAATTCCCAAAATACTTGTTTCCCCCACTGGGAGCACAGCAACTGTGCAAGAAGCAACAATGCTAAAGCATGCAATTGCATTCCTAAGCAGAGTTCTGAAAGGAAAACAACATGGAAGCAATGCCAAGAAAACAAGTCACAAAATATGAACATAGGGACATGTTTCTCAAGCTTGCAGAAGTCTGTTCTTCTAATCATATACATAAAATGTTCTTATTAGTATCAATAGAAATACAGGGGACAGCTAATCCTTAATAACAGAGGCCAGAGTTCAGATCTTGTGCTTATGACCACTGCTTGTGTGTGATCATTTTGATCTTTTGTTTTTGTTTTTGTTTTTTTTCCCATTAAGCCTGTCAGTGTCTTTTGGGCTCTGTAATGACTCTAGTCCAACGGAGTGGGGGTCAAGGTGTTGCAAAGCCTCAAAAAGGAAATGGAAATAACTGGGTTGATATGAGATGGTAGGGTAGTATAGAGTAATATTACCTCTCCCTGAAACAAACAAAACTATCTTCTCCTGATCTGTCCCTGGTGCCCAAGAGGACTGCAAGAGGTATGGGCACCTCCAGTTACCATCTCATCCTCTTTGGTATTATTGATGTACAAAATGGCTTTTGGATGGCTATCATATTGTATTAGTGGCCAACTAAAGGATCTGTATATAATTAGTTGTTAAAATCCACATAACAAAGTGTCACTTTGAAATAACCTTGTTGCCTAAGATGGTGCTTCATCCTAGAACACTACAGAATTCATTCCAGAACATTGCAGAATGCTGTAGTTTTTACTGCAGTCATCTATGTACTTAATGGTTTGGATCATAACGATAATTTTTGGTTCAAGTGCTGGTGTGTTATACCTGTAATCCTACTTACTCAGGAAGCTAAACTCTGAGGATTTTTTTCACTTTGAAACCAGTCTGTGCATTTAAGTCTATAAGACTCTTACCAGTTAACTCCCGAAAACTGGAAGTGGAGCTGTGGCTCAAGTGGTAGGGCACTATTGGTCAACAAAAAGAGCTCTGGGATAGTGCGTAGGCCTTGAGTTCAAGCCCCAGGACCAGCATAAAAAAAAGATTTTTTTTTTGGGGGGGGGAGGGATTGTTTCACTGTACTGTATCAATTGTACATTTGAATTTTTTTTGCTTTAAAAATTGTATGTACGACAAAACTGCCCAGTTTTACAATGTAAAAATAATTAAATATGTTAATTGTTATTTTGGGTTAACATAGAGAACTGACCAGGTTAGTATTTGGTCACAGTGGCAAAAACATAAAACATAAGACACCATATTAAACCTTAAATACACAGCAAATGCCCAGTCACATCATTCAATCACTCATCTCTTTCATAGTCACAGCAGAAAAACACATTTTTTTTCAGATTAGAACAAGTTGAGAATTTTTGTAGAAAACCTACCAAAACTTGAAGCGGGTGCCATGCACAGTATTGGCCCTGTACACCATGCAGAAAAGCGTGGAAGGTAAAGAAAAGAAAGAATTCATTATTAAGGCTTTATAGACAGAAGTGAATTTTAACTAGAAAGATTTTTTTTTTTGCAATATCAATTAATTAGCACATGCGATCCCAATAATCTCCCACGCTTATAATTACAGATAAGCTTTGAGATCATAGGCCCAGGTAATCAAAGTAATTCTTGGATTCTTAGGCAAAAAAGATAAACTTTCTTTAAAAGACCTGCTTCACTTAGATCTCATATTTATTTTGGACAAATACATTATCAATAATTCTTATCATAAAAATTAGGAGAGATGTTTTTGTTTTTGTTTTGGCCAGTTGAGGGGCTTGAACTCTGGGCCTGGGTACTGTCCCTGAGCTCTTCAGCTCAAGGCAAGCACTCTACCACTTGAGCCACAGATCTACTTCCAGTTTTCTGGTGGTTTATTGGAGATAAGAGTCTCACAGTCTTTCCTGCCTGGGCTGGCTTTGAACCCCGATCCTCAGATCTCAGCCTCCTAAGTAGATAGGATTACAGGTATGAGCCACTGGTGCCTGGCCGAAAGTTTAATTTTTTTCACATATTCTTTTCAAAATATTATGTGCCTATCTTTCTATTTATTGAATTGATCTATTAACATCTCGTTGACTATGAGTATATTGCAGTGGGCTTTCTATTTTATAAAAAAGAGCTATCAAACAGGTTTTTATCTATTAATAAGGAGAAAGGGGTTTTTCTAACATTTTTGCTTGTAAATCTCAATTTCTTATTGGCTAAATCTGGCAAAAAGAAGTCTCAGTCTAATTACTAATTGGGACTAATTTGTAATTTCAAATCAGGTCGAGAAAAACTAGAATGAATAATGCAAATTTTCACATTCAGTCCCTTTGGCTACATATCTAGGCCACCAGATTCATTTTATAGCTATGAGTCAAACTAGAAGTAGCCAAAGTAGATACATCTAATGTGTAAGCATATTATCATTGTTATTTTAAGGGGAAAAAAGCTAGGAATAAAATAACTAACACGTCCTGGTTTTCTCTTTTACTTCGTGGACATTACATAACTTCTCTCAGGTCTGGCTAAAATGGCCAAATCATTAGATATGTGTGGTTCTTATAAGTGATGTGCTCATGTACAAAATAACTATTTTCCTCCTCAGAAGCTGTTATACAAGCATGTAAAAATTGTGGAACTGACATGACGTCCTGAAGAGTTGTCATACTCAGTAATTAAAGACTTTTGTGGGCCTGAACTCTGGGCCTGGGCGCTGTCCCTCAGCTCTGCAGCTCAAGGCTAGCGTTCTACCACTTGAGCCACAGTGCCACTTCTGGCTTTTTCTGCTTATGTGGTGCTGAGGAATCGAACCCAGGGCCTCATGCATGCAAGGCAAGCACTCTACCAGTGAGCCACGTTCCCAGCCCTAAAGACATTTTTAATGGGTTCCTTCAAAATTAATTATCTGTTTAATTTATTAATTATAGTAATCAATGTTTTCCTAAGTCCAAGTAAACAATATTAGGTCTTTAGAATTTTTATATAGTTAACAATGCTTTCTAAATTAATCTTCAAAGCAGATGTTATTTTCATTTACTAATGGTTTTTAAACTAAGACATTTAGGAGTCTGGCAAAAAAATATTTCCAGTGGTTGGTGTTTTCAATTTGTTACTAAGACATTATTAAATGTTTTGTCATTTTACCTTTTTGGTTGTACTGGGGTTTGAACTCTGGCCTTCTCACTTACTATGTATCTGCTCTAGCAGTTGAGTCACTGCAGAAGTCTTTATACTTAGAGTATAACCCACTGGGAGGGAATTATTTTTCTTAATACATTTGAACATAAAATATATGTTAAACATAAATATGTATGTTGAACATATATATTTGGACAAAAATGATTTAAAATTTTCTATTCCACTTGCTGTGAAACTTTCATGCTATTAATTTTAGGTAAATGGAAGAGGTAGCATCAAATATGTTGCAATATATAAAAAATATAACAATAAGCCGGGTGCCAGTGGCTCACGCCTGTAATCCTAGCTACTCAGGAGGCTGAAATCTGAGGATTATGTTTCAAAGCCAGCCCAGCCAGGAAAGTCCATGACACTCTTATCTCCAATTAACCGCCAGAAAATCAGAAGTGGTGCTGTGGCTCAAGTGGTAGAGAGCTTGCCTTTAGCTGAAGAGCTCAGAGACAGTGCCTAGGCCCAGAGTTCAAGCCCCACAACCAACAAAAGAATAAAGAATAAAAAAAATGTAACAATAAACTGCTGTATTTTTATATGACCAGGTTTCAGAAATAGGGGCTGAACTATTTCTTTTATATTATCCTTACTATAAGTTTAAGGTAGTTTGATAATAACTACCTTGGGTATATCATAGTTATGGAGCCTATGGGGCCACAGATTTTTTTTTAGGTAGCTGATCTCTTTTTTTAGACAGATCACTGTCTATGAAAGCCTAAGAGTCAAGGAATTAGTTGAGACCAACCTACATGAATCAATCTTAAAGAAAAAATAAGAAACACTGCAAAGAAACAAAACCCATTAATACATTCCCCATTTGAGGGCATAAGCTTAATTTTCAGAATTTTAGAACAATAAGATGTTCCAGAGACTAGCAGATCTTGTCTTACTTTTATTTCTAAGCAAAATATATGCAGACTGCCCTCCCATAAAGGCCCGTGGAAGCTGCTTCACAGTGTATTCATGCACATCACTAAACTTACAGTGACGAGAATTGTTCTCACCTGTGGGGATAAATGCCTGCTGAGGGAACTGCATGTTAGTCAGAGTCTGCTGGCAGTGATAAACATTGGGATTAAACACCGGAGTGACACCATTGTTCTTCTCAAGGCCCGATCTTTTTGGCATCATTTGAAGTGTACCATTCTGTAGGGCCTGGAAAGGAAGGATGTATTAAAAGACAAAAAAGAAGAACAAACACCCAAGCAAGTGCAAACTATGGAAGGCACAGCCCTGTCATCCTCCACATTCAATAAGCCATGGCCAGCCAGCGAGCTTACCAGCTGCAGAAGCTAGGAGCTAGCTTCACTGGATGAATAGTTTAAAACAGAAAATAGAAATACAAAACAAAACAAGCATTTCAACATCACTAATTTAGACCTCATTTTGGATAGGACGTGACAGGAAATGAATTATCATTACAATGGACATCTCAGAAAATGCTCATCTATTAATCTACAGAAATGAGATTAGTAGAAGCAAATAGCAGGAAAGATTTTTTTTTGCTAGTTAAAATTCCAGTATGGCTCTAGGAGATTATAGATGATAAAACAGTATATAGATGAGAAAACAGATGTTGGTAGTCTGGTACTGTAGCCTCATAAAACAAAATCTAATTTATACAAAGACCTCAAGTTCAAATCTTACAGCTGTTTATCTCCTAACACATGCAAGGAAAAAGCAAATAAATCAGTCCTTTCCCATTCTCCACCTCACCCAATTAGGCAAAATGTATGTAGTTCTTATTTATAGAGGCTTACTCAACATTTCAGTATACACTATTTGCTTTGTTAAATTCCTGTGATGTTTAATCCTAAAATATAGCAGCATTTTTAAACCCTTCTTTCATGTCTGATGTCCTTTCAAAATCCCAGTTTTTAAATCTGCCCCTAGACTAGATTTGTTGAAGAAGTTTAACATTACTTTTTTTTCTCTCAGCAAATTGTGCAGTACTTTAAAAACATGTTCCAGCAATACAATTAGACATGCTCCAAATTCTTAAGGAGACAGGAACACTTGTATTGAGCAACTAACCTTCCATGTGCCAAAAAGGGCCATGTTATGACCTCCTTATTCACAGAGATAGTGAAGGCCCAAAGATATCTCTATATTGTTTTGGGGATTCTGCTGTTGATGCACATAGTTGGACATGTTTGCTTTTTTTAAAAAAAATTAGTTTATTAGTTTATTTTCTTTCTTAAAAAGTCAGACAAGAGCTGGGAATGTGGCTTAATGGTAGAGTGCTTGCCTAGCATACATGAGGCCCTGGGTTTGATTCTTCAGTAACATATAAACAAAAAATAAAGTTAAAAAAGCCAGACAAAAATAAACCAAGTAGCTTTAGAGATGTATAATTTCCAAATGTATGTGAGAGAACCAGATGAGACAAAGGTCAGGTTTAAAATCATAAGCTGCAAAGTATAATTTATTATTCCAAATGCCTTTTCTCACTATTAAGAGAAAATAACTTTGCTGAGGGTTTTTAACAGAGTGAGTTAGGAGACTATATTTCTGGTTATTTAAAAGATTTTTCCTTATGATGTAATGAGAGATGTCGCTTTCTCTAGAAAGTTATGATAATGGTGTGATCGTATGAACCCAACTTCTATCACTGAGTAATCTACAGATACAGGAAAGACCCAGGTGCACATTTGTCTGGTAGATCCGCATAAAGTAGTACTTTTTAAATTTTTATTTATTTTCTTGCATTGCTGGATAGGTTAGTCGCCAGTTCCGAATGGGTGATGTTATTAAATATTGTTATTAAATATTTCTCTTATTAACATTGATTAGGGTCATGGTAGCCTCACAGACTCTCTAACTTGCAAAAACAAAAAAGGTATGAGAGGTTGGATGAAATAAATGTCAGCCCTTTAGGTCTTCTTTTATTGACTGCCTACAAGCTGCTCTCTGCAATGTCAATCGGAGCTACAGTAAAAACGTTTTTTAAAAAGCATACGTACACTAGATTCCTCAGAAATACAGAAATATTAAATTTCTTGATGAATCACTCTTTCATTTAGTCTTACTTTAACCTCTTTCCTATGGGTCAACTTGACCTTACAGCACTTACGCTCTATTACTCAGGAAGAAATTTTATATCAACATCCATAAGTATCCATCAAGAGCTAGTATAATATTGAGCTCTCTTAATAGAAATGGGAGGCCCAAATGTAACATCCTCGCTCCACCAAATGCACTTACATACTAAGAAATGGGCCAATACACTGGTTGTGATGACTAATATCTCTAATCCTAGCTACTCAGGAGCTAGAGACTGGGAAGTTTGTAGTTTAAGCCCAGCTATGGCAAAAATATCCATAAGAAATCATCTCAAACAAAAAAGCTTGGCACAGTGGTAAGTTACCTGCTATCCCAGCTATGTGGGAAGTGGAAAGTTGGAGAATCATAATCTACGTCAGCTCCAGAAAACAAGTGTCTACCTTAAAAAATAACAAAAGCCGAAAACCTAGAAAATTTGGAAGGTTTTGGCTTAGAGAAGAGACATGAAAAGTGCCTCTTTTGTGAGACAGGGCTGACTTATTCTGTGAAGTTCCAGTGGTAGCAAGATTTTCACTGTATTTGATGTTGGTATAATTTGTGGAAGGGAAGGGAAAAAATAAATGGTTTAAATAGGGATACAGATGGACCCATTGCAACAATAAGATGTACAAGACGTTATGTCGAAAAATGAACTTTACAACTTTGGTGGGGGGGGAGGACTAGAGGGGGTTTGGGGGAGGATGGGAAGGGATGGGATGGGAAGGGGAAACAAAGGAGGAGGCTACAATGCTTGATAAGAAATGTACTCATTATCTTGCCCATGTAATTGTAACACCTCTGTGCAGTATTTTCACAATAAAAAAAAAAAAGAAAAAAAAGATGAATTTCACCTCAGCATGAGAAAAATTCTCTCAGTCGGGACATTTTCAAAGAAATTCCTCTCTCTCTTGCAAAGGCAAGAACTGCCTGATGGAAGTAGCAATGCCATAAGGATGGGAGATGACTCATATGGCATTTTTCTGGGCTCTGGGGTTATGTAGGGGCTTTTATTTCCATAGTTAGGGACCATGTAGTTTCCTCAGAGTTTTTTTTTCTTTTTCTTTGATTGGATTTGTTCTACTCTACGACATGAAATAAGTTCAAGATAGCAAAAGACACAGGCAGCAAACAGCACAGCAAAATAATTCATCACTGTGACTCACTTGAGTAACTCTAATTCCGATTTCTCAATCTATCACATGACAACGCTAGACAAATATTTTCTCCTGCTTCCTACCTTCCAATGTTATTAAGTAGGACTACCTTTCCCCTGAAACGGACTTGCTACAGCAACTCAAAAGCCAAATATGTTCCTCTAGTCACGTCAAAAATCTCCCCCTAGCTATGACCCAGGCTTCAGCCTTGGTCCTCCTGTTTGTTGACACCATGCCTCCAGAAAGGAAAGATAACCCTGACCTTTGGGAACTGGGAAGTGCCTCATCCCCATCTTTAAAGCATTGTGTTTTAAGGCATTGAGGACGTGAGCAGCTAAATGCTCATGACTGTGGTCACGGAGCCAAGACACAACTTTCTGCCTTGCTCCACTATTAAAGAGTAGTTAGACTACAAAAAGCACTCAAAATAATTTACTGTTTAAATTACGTAATTTACCCTGGCTCTGAAAGTGTTAGAAAAGTACAGTAGGTTCAAATAAAGCTTTTAAACAATTATCTTTAGAAACATCTTAGTAAAAAGAGATTTTTCTCTTTCCTAGCTTAGGACCTGGACTATACATAGTTAGGACCCACTCAAGGATATCCAACATTATGGGTACAGAAGATTAGACATATTGGAGAATATATTAATAATATATCCCCTACACACACATACACAAGAAAGAGCCCGCAAGCCTAGCCTGCTCTTACCATTGCATTGGCAGCAGAATGGTTCATCTGGTAATGAGCTGCCTTAAGTCTGGCTTGCAAGTGTGGAGGAGGATGAAAGTACTTGCACTTCTCACGGGAGCATCGACCTTTAATGTAATCCATGCAGATCGTCACAGTGTTATCAGTCACTTCAATCATGGAAGGATCTGTAGGGTGTGCATAGCGGCACTCACTCTCCCCACGAGTACAATTTCCACGCTGAAACTCACGGCAAACCTTAAAAGGAAGTGACACCCACATACATCACAATGATTACTACAAGGTGGCTTTTATTTACTTTGCTTTCTTTTACTTGATATACACATTTAGATATTTTTTCAGGAAACTTCTATAAAGGTGGAAGGATAATGCACAAAGCCATAGTCACGGTAAGATAGAAACAAAGATCATTGCTTTTTTTTTCTTTTCTGTTGTTTTGGTGCCAGTACTGGGGTTTGAACTCAGGGACTAGGTGCCGTCCTTTAGCTATTTGTGGTTGTTGTTGTGCAAGGCTGCTGCTCTACCACTTCAGGCATAGCTCCACTTCTGGCTTTATTTTTTGGTGGTTAATTGTACATAAGATTCTCATGCACTTTCTGATCTGGGCTCCAGCTGATGTTGAACCTCAGTCGTGTCAGACCTCAGCCTCCTCAGTAGCTAGGTTTATAGGTGTGAGCTACTGGCACCTGGTGACAATGTCTATTCCAAGGTACAAACTTCCATTCTTAACCAGGCACCAGTCTCACACCTATAATTCTAGCTAATCAGGCTGAGATCTGAGGATTATGGTTCAAAGACAGCTTGAGCAGAAAAGTCTGTGTCACTCTTATCTCCAATAAACTATGCAGAAAAAGCCAGAAGTGGTGCTGTGGCTCAAGTGGTAGAACAATAGCCTTAAGCACAAAGAGGCTCAGGGACTGCAAGTAGGCCCTGAGTTCAAATCTCAGGACTGGCAAAAAAATAATAACAACAAACAAAAAAACTTTCATTCTTTGCAAAGTGTGTTAGTTTGCCTTCCATTGACATAAAAGTACTTAAAGTGATGTTTAAAACCAATTTTAACTCTCCAGCTAATACACAGACTCAGATGTAATTAGATTTTTACAAGGTCTAAGGTGAGTCTTTATCACATAGTAAGGAACTAGGAGGTTCACACTGCCAACTTGTGAACCATGAATGAGTTACATGTATAATCAGATTCCATTACAATTAATGGCCAGGCATTTATTGGGCTGCCAATGGAGAAGACTAAGAAATCAACTTGTTTCAAAGAATGACAATTAAGGGAAAAAAATGGAAGGACTTCAATAAATGAAATTTCTTTTAGGTTCTTTAGGTATCATGGGATATTTACTATGCAGCATATGTTAGACATGATATTCATTTACATCCTATGTTCATGTAGCTTTAAATTCTGTAATCATATGGAGTTAGATTCAGAAATTTTTTTCAGTTTACTACTCTACCAAGTAGAGACACAGTAAAAAAAATACTTGGTGCTTGAGTAGAGGAACATTTCTACCCACACACCCTGTGCTACTGCAAAGTTTATGGTGAAGTGCACTTACAATATTCACCGGCCTACTGTGTAGCTGAATCTGTGCATTTCCTAACAAGGTCTAACTGCAGTAGGAAAAAAAAATTAGGTGTACTTATTTAAAACATTCAACACATTAGGCTCTGAAAAAAATGGTACTTTTTCCATAAGGTTAAATCCATCTTTCAGTATTTACATAGTTCTTCACAGTTACCTCCAATTTATCTGAACGTATTGGTTTGTGGGCAGTAACTCCTGACAATGCAAGAGCTGGATTTCCAGAAATCAGAACAGGTGTATTTGGTAACAGTTCAGCAGGAATCAGGCTCATTCCAGGATGAGGTATGTAAGGATTGATAGCCATCGATGGATTAGCTGCAAGTGATGGATTCATAGGAAAAGAAGTCTGTATGTTTAAAAAAGAATGAGAGACAAAAAAACAAGTTAGAGATGAACATATTTTTATATTTTGACACAAGAAGATATTCCTGTAGAAATACTAGAATTTTTTTTGAGGGGGGGAGGGATGGTCGTGGGGCCTGAACACTGGGCCTGGGCACTGTCCCTCAGCTCTTCAGCTCAAGGCTGGCACTCTACCACTTCAGCGCCTCTTCAAGCTTTTTCTGCTTATGTGTTGGTGAGGAATCAAACCCAGGGTTTCATGCATGCAAGACAAGACTCTACCACTGAGCCACCTTCCCAGCCCCAAATACTAGAATTTCTTAAGCCTCAGTTATGCCACTAATTTTTTTTGCATGATTTATTTGGAGTCATTATTACTATTATTATTTAATATCTTTATGCGCTTCTAAAAAGGAGTTGCCATTTAACAAAGCAGATAATGAATACTAATGTCACCCCTTTCAACATTCTTACCCATCCATTCCAACTTACCCTTTCCTTTCTTAATTTTTCAGTCTATACACTGAATTCATGACTACGTTCTCCCTTCCCTTCTGCTCTTCAGTCATCTATCCCTTTCCCCACGGACTTATCACATCCCTTGAAAGTACTCACTACTTGGCACTTGTTTTGTTGAGCTTTGATTTTGCTTTTCTAAGAAGTTACACTATTATAGTCAGTATTAAAAACATTCTTTTTCAGTAACAAATTTCTTGGTAAGATGATAAAACAGGCCACTTGAGTTTTACCTTTCCTGAATTAGCCAAATGAAATCTCACTCTTTCTGATGTGCTTCTTTCTAGTACTTGCCCTTTATATGGAACAATGTGCCAATGATGGCACATAAGTAGACCATCTCTCGTTTCCTCACACAAGCATGGTCTTGCAAGTGGACTTTAAGAGAGTCCCCTTCCTTTTGCAGCCTTTCTCTTCTTCCCCACCAACAATGCTATGCTCTAAGGTTGCTTATACTGCTAAATTCTGATCTTCCAAATTCTCTTGGTCCACCGACATTTATGACAGCAGCAAGGAGTTGGGAAAGAAAACAGTAGATTGGAGAAAGTCAGTACTTTAACAACTTCTTGCCATATACCCTAAAATGAGATTGGCATGGTCATTGTATATTCTTTTTTTTAAACTTGAGGTCCTATTTCACAAGGGAACCTGACTTGTCTAGACTTGTCTTTATCTAGGGACCAGATGATGCAGTTCAAATGGAGGCTCTTAAAATGCTAGAGGGATCACTGTAGGGCTAGAAAAGATAAGATAACAAGATTGTATGGTGCTCAATCTACAAAATAGCTTGTAAATAAAAGCCTTAGAAATTCAAAGGGCTATTACTGATTTATCTGTCTTTAAAAATCCTAGATTCAAAGAATTTGATAGGTGCAAGGCCTTTATTATCTGTTACCACATAACTTTACCCTTCTGGTTTCCAGTTTATTCCATTGGAGCCTGTTATCTTCTCCATGTGGTTATTATCATTTCTTTCATAGCTCTCTGTCTCCCTCAGAGCACCCAAGGTTTAGTGAATGATTTTGTAAATATGTGTGGTAAGTTTGAAAAATAAATGCTAACAGGTTAATAAATGATGAATGAATATTTTGGTAGTGACTCAATAAGGTTAGTGTTTCACTGTGTATTACTGATCTTGTGTGTTCTTTCATTTTCTTTTTGTGTCTTTCACTAGAAACACCATAAGGGCACTGCATTGTCATACAGAACCCATACATGGAAAATCTGATTAATAGCAATTGCTCTCAATACAGAAAGAACAGGAGCCTGTGGAGCCTGGAAGGAGCAACACATATGCCCTTCCCCACCCTCCACAAGGACTTGAAATTTTCACCAGTAGAGCATTTCCCTAAAGGCCAGTATTATAAGTTAAATTTGACTTACTTGGAAGTGCCTCCTTCCTTACCATTCCATCTTAGGAGGATTTACCAAATTGTTTCATTCATATGGTAGGAAGGACAGAAAGATCCTGGCCCCAAAGAATTCATAAGATTCACCAAGGGCAAACTGAAAAGGCACCATAGCTAAGAGCTTAAGAGGGAAGTACAACAATGGTGCCTTAGAGTCCTCCAAGAAGGGGAATTAAGTGTGAGGACAAATAGCTGAGGGCTTATCCAACCAAATAAGACTTCTGATATAAAAGGAACTTGTCAAAGTTCACGTTGAATGAGATACAAAACCCTAGGAATTAGCTGATGTGACATTATTTGATTTAATAAGAAGGAAATCTCTTGGAGACAGTTACCCAGGCATGCTTCAACAACAAGGAGGACTTTACTAACTCGGTGATTCAGTCATTTTCAAAATCAAGAATCTCTGATGGTAAAAACTCCACATGTGGTAGTCTTTGTTTTACTTTTTGTTTGCTCACTTTTGAGGTAATTTTCTCATTGAAGTCACTATTTGCATTCTCCTACATGCTTTTGTTTTTCTTCCTAAAACTGGAAAAGCATCATCATTACATCTATTAACTATTGAACTGAAACAAAGACCAGACATGGGTGGATTTTCTAGAATGAAATAAAATCATTAATCACTAAAAATTCACTTTAATTAGTGATTAATATTTAAGGCCAAGGAACCTGTAACCAAACCTCTTTTTATGATAGTTCTGCACTTCTGTAGTTTTTTTTTTCTTTTCATTTTATGAGTGACTCAGCAAGGAAAATGTTTGGGACAACTTTGCTTTCTTTGGAAAATACAACTATTTAAGTCTTTTATGTGTTCCAAGTGTATCAACAAAAGCTGTAAATAATCACTGTATAAAAAAATGTGAGCGACTTGTTGAAAATGTTTATATCTTTTTATACAGTGCAGTCTTTCAATTTTAAAATTATTACTGCACCTTTCATAACCTTTTCTTCCATGAGTATAAATTTCACTCTATGATACTATTTATTAAAAAGAAAGCTCTTTCGCTCACAGCCCAGGGGCAGAGGGAGGAGCTCCTGAGTACTGACTTATTTTCAAATAGACATTTCTGTTTTCTTACTGTCACCTCTGCCTCAGGGTAACTATTCCATTTCACAAATTTGAACACTCAAAGGCTTAGCTTTGACTAACAGCTATGGGTTAAGTGAAGCAGCCTGCAAATTTATACATTCAACTTCAATAAGCAACTTAATCCCACTTCTATCTCTATCACGGCTCTTCATGTCAATTGAGCTAACATGAACCTATCTGTGTGTTAATCCTTGTTTTAAAGAAGAATGTTGTTTTTATGGTGCTGGGAATAGAACCCAGGGCTTCATGCATGCAAAGTACAAGCTGTACTGCTGGGCTATACACTCAAGCCTTAAAACAATATTCTTAGTACATTGAATTTCATATATCTTTATAGCCTGAAGTAGTCAGTATCTTTAGTATTTAAATAATGTCTTTAAAACATGTAAATCTGAATGGAAACTATTTACTAAATATTTAAAATTTAACAAAGATTACCCTCCCAGAATCAGAGGTGTGGATCCTCCTCTTTCTGAGGTTTACACAACAGTAAGAGTGATGAAGAGCACTGACTTTAATAAAGTCGATTTCTCTAGTCGTATTACCTCTTAAGATAGGAATCTCTATGAGTTTTTGGTGGCTTACATAGGCCTAGGAACTATAGTCACTTGGGATATGCCTCCAAAAATTCCTTAAATGTCTTCAGAACAGTGGCTACAAACTTCTTTTTATTAGCCTCAGACTTTTCTGAGAATCAGGTGAAAAGGACAGAACATTCATACCCATAGAAAAACTCCTATATGCACAAAATATCATACATAATCTTAAGAAGTTCAAGGATCACAGGACATTCACTCCTGGTTCAGGGCTCAGAAGCTAAATGCTCTGGGGTATAGATTCAAAAGCCAGGGTCCCTAGGCCAATTTTGAAATAGTCCTGTTTTTGCATAGCTAGAAATCTGGAGGTTTTTTTTTTGCAATTTTAAGTGGTTGAAAAAATTAAAAGAATAATATTTGTAACATCTCAAATTCTTTTTGTCTCACAGTTTATTTAGCCATGGGTAATTAAAAAAAACCAAACTTAATAGTCTATATATAGTGTTCCAAAGTTCATAAGTAATCAACCTTAATTCCACTCTCTATAAAAGTTGAGGGCTTTTGTTTTGTTTTCAAGTTTTATGTGTGTGTGTGTGTGTGTGTGTGTGTGTGTGTGTGTGTGTATGTCTGTGTGTGTGTGTGTGTGAGAGAGAGAGAGAGAGAGAAAGAGAGGGAGTATAGGGGACAGAGTAAAGAGGAAGAAAACAAGCAAAGAAACCCCAAGGATATTTTCCATGCTAAAAGTATCCCACAGGAATTCTTATCCTCTTGTAATTTTGTTTTTCCTTTTGTTAAATATAAAAATAATGAAAAAAATCATCCAAGAAACAAACTCCACAATATATATATAATACATCAATTTGGTAGCTGCCTCTGTATATTCTGAAAAACCTATTTTCTCTCTACATTCACGAATTCTTTTAATACTTAAAAGTTTTCACTTAGGCTTACAGAATAGAAAATATTCTGGATCGTAAAGACTGACTTCAGGGGACATTTTTAAAAAGGAAAAACAATTTTTGAAAAATAAACTTCTTTGCACCCAGATTGGGAAATAAAAAACTGGCGTAGTAGTGTGTGTGTGTGTGTGTGTGTGTGTGTGTGTGTGTGTGTGTGTGTGTGTGTGTGTGTGTGTGTGTGTATGTGTGTGTGTGTAGCATTAACCTCTTTTATCTTTTGGTTTAATTTTTTTAACTCTTCCATGAAGTGAGGAAAATAATGAAAAATATTAATCATCTACACAAGTAAATAATATTTTTTCATAGATAACTAGTGCAAGACAGGAGCATGTGTTACCTTCAGAGTTCAGCCTTTGCTCAGTACATGCTGGAACCATACACAAAGGGGAAAAAAGACTGGGTAACCAGACATGATAAAATATAGTCTTCATATTCTATACCAGTTAATCTTTCATTATCTCCAACAGAACTTGTAGTTACCTCATTGATAT